GGGGGGGCTCCATATAACCATCAGACCCTCCACACACTGGAAACGCTCTCCGAGAGGGTCAAAGGTCAAAGCCGCCCCCTTTTTCTTTTTCTTCTTTGCTTTCCTCAACATGTGGGTTTTTTAGACTTTTATGGAGAGGTGAGGGTGTGGAGGGGGGGGGCACACGCCAGTTGCTCTCCGTCTGTTTGGGGGGGTCAGATTAGAGGCCCAGAAACCTTTTGGGACCCCCAAACTGATGGGATGTTTCAGATTTCAGCTCCTCAGCAGCTAAACGCTGGTTTTAAACTTGTTCTGGATCAAAAAGTGGACGTAGACTTCCCCAAACCGGCTCTGGTTTAAGTTTAGGAAAGGAGAGTTTCCCCTGTAGATGTTGAAGGGTTAAAAACGTTTAATGTTCTCTTGTTTAAAGGTCCGGGCTCCTGGACTTTGTAGCTCAGATGCTATAAAATGTGTAGATCCTGATGGAGAAAGATGGCACCTTTCCAGTCAAAGTAATTCCACACCATTTTTTAAATAATAAAATCTACTGTCATTGTCAAGCTAAATCTACAAACAAACAGCTTCCATTCAGATCTGCTAGTTTACACATTTTTTTAATAAATCTGTTAACGCATGCTCAGATAAATAAGATAAATTAAAAAAACAAGTGACTTTGGATTATTATTCAGGCTCATTCTGACTATCGTCTAATATCGACTAAAAGGGACTAAATAAACCAAAAAACAAACCTGCTGTCTGCTGATTTGTTCTTTTTTTCTTAAAATAAACGTCACAAAAATGTGAGAAACAGATTTGAGGAACAATAAGGAAGCAGAAGTAGGAACTCTGACTGTAAATGGTGTTTTATTTAATATTCATATGACTTTGAATCGTAACTCAGATGTGCAAAGAAAAAAAAATCATGTTATTCGTTCACAGGGGTTTTTAGTGGTTTTTGGGCCCCACTTGCATGTAAAAGACTGTAAATAAATGCCTTTTTCCAAAAGTGATTGTACAGATTTACCTAAGAGTTAAATGTTACGTCAGCTAA